ATCAAAGCCCTGCAGGATCGGTTTGATCCCTGCTTTCCCCTCCACTTGTGTTTGTTCTCTCCTCAGCTTCCTTCCATGTATAAGACGACCCTCAATTTTTAGCCTAAAGATTTTAGACAAAAGTATAGTCTTATACATGGAAAAATACAGTATATACAAGGATTTTTCTTTTAATATTTTCCAACAGCAGATAAGCAAACCAGCGGATACTGATCCTGTGGATAAGGGGGACCCAACTGTAATGGGACAGCCCGCCCCACAAAGCACCGAACCCACCTGGCGACCCACTTTTCCCCACTTACCTGCAGCTCCTTAACCCAGGAGCAATGCCAGTAGGAGAGGCCGGCCCACTTCACAAAGAACTCGCGTTCAGGGATCCCTTCTAGGGACTTGGAGGGCAGTGGAGTGACCCAGTCAGGCTCCGCTAAGGACAAAGGGGTCACGATCGGGGCCGAGGGCTCCTTCCAGACCCAGTGGAGGATGCGTTGAACTTTCCCTTTCAACGGTGGGCACTGGAGACCAAGCCAAAAGGGTGTGAAAGACACAAAAAAGCCAACATGGACCCTGGCAGGCATCCTTCTGACTATGTCCAGCAACTTCTTAGAGGGAAACGGCACATGACTCTATGTCAAAACCAACTTATAGGACCCTAATAGGGCATTCAAGGCAGGTGAGATTATTTAAGGTGCAGCTTGACCTGTTCGACACACATGCCCCAGTGAGTTTCCATAGCTGAGTACAGATTTGAACCCACGCTCCTCGAGTCTTAGTCCATCACTCTATCCTGGGTATCCCCATGACTTTTGACATGTTAGAATAAATCTATTTTAGGTGCAACTAAATTAGACGCACAGAAACGAAAGAGGATTGTTATCTACTGCATTTACCAGGATTGATGTGTCCTAGACGCTTTGTGCTAGTTGGGAGTAAAGCTGGATTTAACCCACAGCTTATAACAGGGCCTCAATTTTTTTGTTCTTACTTCAAAATGATGTGTGTCTGAGCCTGATGGCCAACACGCTTTCCAAGTTTTCACGATCAAGAGATAATGGCCGAAAGGCCAGTGGGCAAAAAGGAATCTCCGGAAAAACTGGTATGAAGCAGTGATGATCAAATGCTATCTAATCTTTTCGAGACAGGATAACCAGGTCAAAATAGCTGGAGAACTGCCGCATGAAAGACGGAGCAAGACAGAACCCAAACCGATGGATACAGCTTGCAAGGAAGGCGATGCGGACAAAACATTAGGAAGACCGGATAGCTCAGTGATTTAGATATCTGGCAGAGGTTGGCAGTTCGATTCCCTGCTGTGCCTTATTGACAGTTCTGCAGTTCTCAGAGGATGACAAGGACAATCAGAGTGCAGGACAGGTAAGAATGGACTCAAGCAACAGGAAGCCAGTTTTCGGCTGAATATTAGGAAAAACTTCCTAACTGTTAGAGCAGTACGACAGAGGAACCCATGACCTCAACAGGAGGTGGTGAGCGCTCCAACGCTGGAGGCCTTCAAGAGAAAATTGAACAACTGTCAGATCTGCTTTGATTGGGAATCCTGCCTTGAGCAAGGGGTTGGGCTGGATGACCTTATAGACCTCCTTCTAACTCCATGATTCGATGATGGTGATGATAGCTTCCTGATAGTAAGAGCTGTTTATCAGTGGAGGGGTGGAGGGGATTATTTCAGAAGGTGGTGTGCTCTCTTCCACTGGAGGCTTTGAAACAGAGGCTGCGTGGCCACCTAGCAGGAAGACATTAACACTGGATCCCTGAGTCAGTAGAAGGTTGGACTACATGTCCTTTAGGGACCCATTCCAATACCATACCTGGAGGATGCTAGGATTCTCATTATACACTGGAAAGAACAACGGACTTCTGGTTGGATTCTTGAACCTACTTGGACCATGGGTCTATGATGAAAGGAGAGAGACGGACTGAGTTTGGTCAGCATTCTCCTCCTTTTCCATGATGGAATGGCTGGTCCAATGCTCTCCCATCTTTACAAGGAAACTGAGATCGAGAACTACCGGCAATACAGGGGGAAAAAACACTACAGCCGGCACGACAGAGCAGATGTCGTGCGGATGGTTCATCAACGCTTACCGTGCAACGAGGACAAAGCCATTCCCCATTGGGTATTTCTGGCATCGGGGGGTTCAAGCAATGCAGGTGATAGGAAGAGGGGCAGGTGTCACAACAAAGGAGCTCCCCACCGTCCTTGCAGACCCGACAAAACTCCATGTGGTCGTCTTCTTCCTCACCCATGTCATCTTCCTCTTCCTCCTCCTCCTCCTTCGGCTCCCACTGGATGCCTTCCTTCTCCTGGAACCACAGAAAGGCAGGGCTGAGCTCATACTTCTAGTTTTTTTTATCTCCCCCTTTTAATATTTTTTAACATTTTCAGACCTTGGATCAGTGAATCCGTGGATTCTGATCCCACAGTTACTGTAAGAGGGTGCTACTGTATTGAGAACCCTATTGAGACTGCAGCATCCATAAAAGCAGACTCCATGGCATAACTGGTGGTGCCAAACAGTCCCGTGGCTCACATCGGGTGGAAACCACTGGGTGCATAGGGACACACACACACACACACACACACACACACACACACATGCTTGCACCCTTCAATTCTTCCCACGCTCCTTACGCAGTGGGGGCAGCTCCATTTGCCCTCTGGGGCTTTCTCCATCTCCGGGTCCAAGCAGACAAGGTGGTAGGCCCGCGGGCAGGTGTCACAGAGAATGATCTCCCCACCCTGCTGGCACACCTCGCAGTAATCCTGGTGGTCTGTCTCGTATCCGTCACCTTCTTCGACTGGAAGACATGCAAAAAAGCCAAGTTGGCCAAACAGCCACTCCCAAGATGCCGGAGAATAACAGACACAAGAGCTTCCCCTTTCATTACATCTGGGGAAGAGCAGGGAGGGAGCTTTATGGAGAAATTAAATGCGAAGGACATGTCCTAGACTTTTGGGGTTCTGGCCACTGGTGGACTGGCCTCAGATCATGGCCCAAGCTATCCACCATCTCTCAAAAGGATGAGAAGGCAGCATTTTCCCCTTTGCATTTCGTTAAACCACTGCTATTGTTTTAAACTAAAGATCCAATATAGTTTATTTGAGGTTCCTTAAATAGTTCTGGAAAAAGCAAGAAATTACGGATGAAACTCTACACCCCCAAAGCAAGGAAATTCAGAGCTTAAATCACCACCGACTTACTCAGAATATGAGCAAAGCGATACATTTTTTTTTCTACCTTAACTTCTATCCCAAGTAAACACCATCGTGCAATTCCACTAGCTACCCCCTGCTCACTCATCATTGATTGTATGAAACGACTGAAAGGAAGCACAGGGAAACAGAGGGTCACATCAACACAACTGATTTTCAGCACACACTCCTGTCCAAAGTTATTTTAAAAAAATTTTATGAAACATTATCCAGGAAGTTTTCTACCTTAACTTCTATCCCAAGTAAACACCATCGTGCAATTCCACTAGCTACCCCCTGCTCACTCATCATTGATTGTATGAAACGACTGAAAGGAAGCACAGGGAAACAGAGGGTCACATCAACACAACTGATTTTCAGCACACACTCCTGTCCAAAGTTATTTTTAAAAAAATTTATGAAACATTATCCAGGAAGTTGGGAACTAGACTTCTTTCTTGTTAGGCTGAAACGTTTCGCTACTCATCCAAGTAGCTTCTTCAGTCTGAGGAGAGTTGGTGGGAGATCCCTGAGAAGTGGGATTTTTCCCTCACCCCCCCCCAGTCCTTTGTTCTTCTAATGAGCCTATTCAGACCAGGGGGAAGTGAAACCAACATGGAGGATATATGTGGGGTTTCCTACCAAGTTGCCTCAGACTGAAGACGCTACTTGGATGAGTAGCAAAATGTTTCAACCTAATAAGGAAGAAGTCCAGTTGCCATGACTCAACTTCCAGATAACCTCACCTGGATGACTGAGAATCTTCATAGATATTATCCAGGAATTGCTGAATAACTCAATGGTTTAGATCTCTAGCTGAGAAGCCAGAGATTGGGAGTTTGATTCCCCACTATGCCTCCTTGACAGGGGCTGGATTCGATGATCCATAGTGTCTTTCCAATTCTAAGATTATTATTAAGTAATATCTTTTCTTGTTTGGCTGATCTATATTTGGAAGAAGACAGCCTCTCTGTGCTTAATGGACTTTGTCCTAGATAAGAAGAGGGTTAAAAAAAAACACCTTGAAAATATCAAAGTAGAGCTCACCTTTCATGTTTACGTGTGGCAGAAGTTAAGGTACGAAATAGTGCATCATTGTGCCACTTTTTTTTCCCAAAGGGGATGGGAAGTGCTGATCTCAGCTCTGAGTTTATTTACCTGGGGTATAGCTTCAAACATAATATTTGTTTGAAACCAAAGGATATATTCCCTGATTTTTGATACATAGGAATATAGAAACAATCGCATTTGTGATGAGAATTCTGCCTTTAAACTCAATGTGTAAATAAAAATAAAGCAAACACCCAAGTCTTACTGTACACAAGAAACCAACTTCTCCAAACTTCTCTCTGGATCTCTGAGGAAACAACACCCACCCGCAAAAGACGGGGAATTATTATTTAAGACTGACTCTTAGAGAGAGAGATTGTGTGTTAGAAAGGGGTGTTACTTATAGATCGGCTCTCCATTGGATTTTGATGTGCTGCTCAAAGGTTCCCCCTAGAACAATGGTCCCCAACCTTGGGCCTCCAGATATTCTTGGACTGCAACTCCCAGTAACCTTCACCACCACCTCTTTTGGCCAGGATTTCTGGGAGTTGAAGTCCAAGAACATCTGGAGGCCCAAGGTTGGAGACCACTGCGCCTTGAAGACACATTTCAGCATCCAACATGTTCCACCCAACATAGACTTCTAAGTAAGATAGGAAGAGCCCTGGTGTGTTGTTTAGATGAACTGCCACAGCAGCCCTGGAAAAAATGCCCTGCATACTAGGGGAATATGGGAAACGTTGTCCAAACAGAGAAACCATTTCTTGCTCTACATATGCCAACATCATGCCACCTTCCCACAACACTCCTAAAAGAACAGTCCGTGGCCGAACATCAAAACGTACGCCTCTTTTTCTTCTTTCGCTTCCTCCTTCTCTTGCCCAGGCCAACCGAGGACTCAGAGCGAACGGACAAACTAGCGATGATGCTGGCGCCATCCAGGTCCGATTCCTCCCGCTCCTCTTCCTCACTCTGCAAGGAAACCCAAACTGCACATGGCTATCATGGATGCCTCTCGGGGCTGGCCCAGCCCGCCCACCCCTTCTATCACCAGTGCTTGGAAGCAACTAATTACAAGTAACAGAATTACCTATAACTAGTTCCTTTCGAAGTGGCAAGAATGTAACAAAGCTACGTTTCAATAGCAATGGAATTCGTTATTGAAATGTTACTCTATTTGGTGTAATCAGTAAATATTTTCTAGTGTTTTTAAGTGCCTTTTGGCAAGATTTTTCTAATTGGCAAGAGAAGCATCATATTGTTTTCCCTGTAGTATGACTCCTGTATCCACAGGAGATTGCTTCCGAATCTCCCCTGTGGATACTGAAAACCCGCAGATAATAGTGAACACTATACATAACATGGTCTCTGCCTCTAGTGGCCAGTTCTGGTAATTATATTGTTGAAATACGTATTTCAAGGTTATTTCTTATTTCATTTTTAATATGTTCAGACCGTGGATAAGTGAAACCACTGATATCGCTCCCATTGATGAAGGGGGTCCTACTGTATTTGCAAGGTACAATATCAAAACTGGTCACTAGAGAGAACTAGAGGGTGTTTCTTTCCATCCCTCCCACCCCACACATGTTGATAAGCTCACACAGCAAGGTGTTGGCAACACATAAGGCAGCAACGGGCAGGAAGTCCAAGCGACACCTGGCTAGGAATCGTGATGAAGAGGCAGTTTGAAATGTATGACGTTACTCACTGAGGACCCTTTTTTCCTTTTGTTAGCGATTCCCCCAAAGCGGAATTTCAGGGTCCCGGCTTTCTTCCCTTTCACCTTCTTTTTGCTGTCTTTGCTATTCTTCATTTTCTTCCGGACGCCAGGTCCTGCAGGTGAAAGAAGTTCTTATGGACTAGCAACTTCCTTGCAGATTGTTCTCTGTCATTGATGGTTTTTAAGCAGAGCCTGGAGGGCCATCTATCACGGATGCTTTAGCTGTAGATTTGTTGCCCCAGTGCAGGCTTGGGCTAGATGGCCTTTGGGTGACCCTCCCAACTGTATACAGTGGAATTCCAGTATCCACAAGGAATCAGTTCTTGGCCTCCCCACAGATGGTGAAAAATGTGGGACACTATTTTACCAAACACCATGCATAGCATGGTCTCTGGTGTCATCTAGTGGTCAGGTCTGGTAACTTCATCTTTAGAAATATACATTTCTAGGATTTTCCTTTTAATATTTTCAGACTGTGGATAAGTGAATCAGTGGATACTGATCCCGCAGATAAGGGGATCCTACCGTAATTCTATGACCTAACTGAATGGGTTGCTTGGATTCTGTTTATTTACTGTATTTATATCCCACCAGTAACCTTATTGCTTTTATTTATCTGGGGAGGTAGGGCACCTTGAAGATATATAGACTTATTTCAATGTAAGAGTTTGCGTATTACCATGCACTTTCCTCTGACAGCAACATGTGGACTGCAATCCCTAAATGCTGCCATGGATATACATCTGTTTGTCACGAAGGTCTCATAAACCTTTTGCTTTTATTTTGTAAGCCGTGCTGCAGAGAACCAGTATAGTTTGGCTTGAGTCTGTCCCCCCCTCCAGGGGAGTTTCTTGATTATCATCATCAGTTGTTTCAGTGGTTTTCACATCTGTCTGTGGAGCCAGAGGTTGGGAGTTCAAATCCCCACTTGTGCTTCCTTGACAGGGGATGGACTCAATGATCTCTAGGGTCCCTTTCAGTTTTGCATTTCCAAGATTATTATTGTGTTCCATCAATTTTGGGGGGCGGGGGTGGAAAGGAACCCTACGGATGTACCACCACGATCATCATCCCACTCTTCCCTCCTCTCTCTCTCTCTCCTCTGACTGTCTTACCTTTTCCCTCCTTGGTCTTGGCTTTCCGAACGGCAGGGGGCAGAGGTGGCTGGGGCAGCCGCTGAGAAGGGCTGGCAGGAACCTGGGCGGGGGCGACAGCCATGGTTTCCACAGCCGCTGCCACGGCAGCGGCGGCGGCGGCAGCCGAGCTTCCCTTGAAAGGATTGTTGGAGCTGAATTCCCGCCACTTGGCTCCTAGGACGGTCATCATCTTGGACATGGGGATTTTGGGGTTCCTTTTCGCCACCAGAGGCCTGGAGGAGGAGGAGGAGGAAGAAGAGGGGGTGGAGGGAAAGAAAGAGAAAGGCGAAGAAGCAGTCCTCCCATTGCTGAGGAGGCGCTGAACCCGCTCCAGGTTTTAGCCCACCCTTCACAAGGGTTCTCCAAAGCGAGGAACCGACTTGTGGGATAGGCTTCAGCACCTTGGAGAGCTCCCCTAACAGACTGTGGGAAAACCTGGGGTGGATTCACAGCTTCTTGGATATGGGTTGCTCAACCCAAGCGGTGCCCATTGGTGTTCCACATCCATCTGTACCCATGTCATGTCAGGCCCACCTTCTTTGGGTAGTTAACACTTTGCACTGAATTCACAAAGAAGACTCCCCTTTTTTTGCATTCAAGCAGCCTCAACTCACTTCAGTCTCGGAGGCCCCTATGGCTGCCGATTGGTGGGAATTTTTGACCCCCTCAAATGGAGAGTCATGCCCCCGGAACTGTCTAGGGACATCGTTCTCTGTAAGGCCCCCCACTCGTGGGGCGGGGGGCGGAGTTCCAACTTGTGCAAAACTGGAAGTGTCTGGCGGGCCCCCTTTCAGTTTTCAAAGAAGGGGCAGAAACAGGCTGCCCAGATCTGGAAAAGACAGCCTGCTCCTCTTTGCACTGATTATGAACATTTCAAGCTCTTGCAGAAAAAAAAAAAGATCAAATGAGGGTGGACGACGATGTATAATATCAGGGGAGCTGCTCCATCTCTGGACCAGATTGGTCACCACCTCTCTCTCAATCTCTTTCATATCTAAACCTTCTATATCACAGGATATATACACAGATGGGTTAGAGAGCCACAATTTAAAAACACCGGACATTTAAACCCATTTAAAACTAAAACAGATTAAAACACAAAATTACAACAGGACGTTATTTATTTATTGCATTTCTGTCCCACCTTTCTTTCGGGGACTTCTATAGGGCCTTGCTTAGCTCTTCTCTCCCCCTGCATTACCCTCAAGACAATAACCCTGTAATCTTTGGGTTTGGGGATCCATTTTGAACCCCTTTGCTCCACCAGAGGCGGCATCAGCCCCATCAACACAGCGTCGGGGATGTATCAAGAACATAAATCCAGAAGGCCAAGCCAAGCCCATCACCCTACAGTTCTCCCCACAGCCCAGAGCCAAACTGAGGGCTGGCCCCACATACCTAAGGAATTGACTGAAAGCCTTATAGTTTGTCAACATGTGGTAGTCCTCTTCGGAAAAAGAATAGTCCACGTCATCCAGGCCCCACTCTTCCATCAGTTGTGCTGAGGTCTTGGGCTCCTATCGGAGGGCAAAGGAAGACAGGGAGGGTGGGAGAAACTAGCCCTGGTGGTAAGATTCCATCATCCACAATGTTACTCACACTGGCAAGAATCATTTTTGAGCAAATTCCCTGGCATGTACCAATTGCACAAAACCACAACAGCTTCCGCCTCATTGCATTGACTCTCCAAAGGCAGATGCACCAGATGTCAGGCCCCACTCTTCCATCAGCTGTGCTGAGGTCTTGGGCTCCTATCAGAGGGCAAAGGAAGACAGGGAGGGTGGGAGAAACCAGTCCTGGTGGTAAGACTCCATCATCCACAAGGTTACTCACACTGGCAAGGATCATTTTTGAGCAAATTCCCTGGCTTGTACCAATTGCACAAAACCACAACAGCTTCCGCCTCATTGCATGGACTCTCCAAAGGCAGATGCACCAGATGTTGGTTTGCTTCTTTTGTAACCATCAGCCCATTCTTCTGTGCATCTTGCAAGGGCCCCTTTGCTTCTTCAAGAGAAAGGCCGGCACAAAACGGCACATGCTCTCGAAGACGCATTGGGTGCAAACGACAAAAACGGTGACAGGGAATGGAAAAGGCTTTCTTTTGGTCTCCCACTCACACTGGCAATAAGGGATCTTGTGGGTCTGGGGAATTCCTCATAGTGGTGTCTCACTGTGTTCAGACAGCCTGAATCCCCAAGAACAAGGAATTTAGTGAGTACTCCTTGCAAAATCCAACTTCCAGAATGGCAAAAACTGGAAAAGACAGAAAAGATGCAGACAACCTATCCGAGGCTTCTAAGGCAGATTCGGTAGTGAACCTGGGTGCACACTGATTATGTTCCATGGACAGGAGTTTCAAATCAACCTAACAGAGGCTTATGTTGGCATCCTGCAAGTCCTAAAACAATCACGTGAATCATCCCGTACTCTTTAGCATTGACAGAAGTCCCTCAGTTGTCCAAAGACAATGTGGTATGAACCCAAAAATGACACCTACCTTCAAGCCTCCCTCTTCATTCTCTTCCTCCTCCTCCTCTTTCTTTTTCCGTTTTGCTTTCTTCTCCTTCTTCTCTTTCAGTTTCTTCTTTTTCTTTTTGTTGGGAGAGTAGCTGCTCCCTTCGCTCTCGGATTTCTCGGCCGGCTCCTCTTCATTCTCAGAGACCTCTTGCTCAGGACCTCCCTATGTTTCAAAGGAAACACACACACACACACACAATTGAGAAAAGGAGCCAAGTGGTAGTCATACATAGTGGTGGGATGGACAGGAATGCTCACGGAGGTTCAGTCTGATTGAAAAAGCTTCTGCTTATCGCAGCCAAGTTTGCCCCAGGAGGCTGTCTTTCAAACAGCAAATAAAAGGGGGGGAGCAGCAGGATCCATACCAATCTACGGTTTTGGAAATAGCAACCAGCACCCTATCATTTAGATACGCCGATGTACGTATTTTAGATGGCTATGAACCACAGCTGAGAACTGCTGCCAATTAAGGAGTCAGGGCTTGTATTTCTCACCGCACACGACTCGTGCAAAGAGGAGCCTGAGCTCTTCACTAGCATCAAATGCATGGCTTAATTAATTAACTGGATAATTAACATGGGGGGGCTTGGCCATCTTCTCTAGCTCGCTAACAAGTTGCTAAATAGTCAAGCTGTTGAGTTTCTCAGGAACCTTTTCAGAAGGCAAAAAGCAGGGAAGGACTTTCAGCACCCTGGACAGAGACCATGGAAAATAGGGCAGTTGTAAGGGTTCAGCACTCAATCTGCCCCAGCCACTTCTCCCAGCAGAAACTCTGAAGGATGGGGAGCAAACCTATGTGTGCCTTTTCCAACCTCCTCGTGTGCATGATTTCCTGCAGTTCTAGTTGTTTCCCTGTCTCTGTATCAGGATGAATCATGCCTCTGGGAATATCTGGGGGTGAGTGGGAATTAACCACCTTGTACGCTGGGGCATTAACAATTTCAACATTGTTTTCACTGGAGGAGAGCTGATTCCTCCCTCTCCTATACACTGACCCCATGCCAGCAGGGTGTGAGCGTCTTCCTGATTCCTCCCCCAGCTCATCATAATGAATTTTTTTAGAGCTGGGTGGGGGGAATCACAATCTTACACTCCCAAAACAGGCAAGAGAGAGAGAGAGAGAGAGAGAGAGAGAGAGAGAGAGAGATGCTTGCTAATGGGTTTCTAAGTCTATAATTTAATACTAGTGAAAAGAAAGATGAAATTGGAGTTTCGCTTTTCCGCAATGTAACTTTGGCTGGAATAATTTGTTGCTATGGCGATTTCATCAGGAGCGATGTATTTCATTTCATCTCTCCTTTTTGCCTCTTTTTCAATGACAAGGAGATCCATCCACAGATATTTGGGCTCAAAAGAATAGTCAGGGCTTCGAACAGAAAAGGCGCAAACTTGTTCCAGTGCTGCTGTCCTTGTGTCTCTGTCTTGTGACTCTGTCACCATTAATGCTGTTGTCCCTGAAAGAGGTGTTAAGTAGCATTTCTGTGTTTTAGCCACTTCCTGTGTTTCATTTTTGGGTTGGTTGGTTGTTGTTTTTATAATGCCAAACACAACAGGGACAAAAGTTGTGCTGAAAGAGCTATGGTAGGACCTCCGTATTTGCAGGATCAGTATTCACGGTTTCCCTTATCTGCAGTCTGAATATATTAAAAATATTAAAAGAAAAAAAACTTCAAATACGTATTTTCACCATGTATTTTCCATAAGTGGGCACTACAGAGAGTCAGAGCCAATACTATGTAATTTTGTTGTTGAAGAACACATAGCATGGTCTCTGGCTTCCTCTAGTGGCCAGTTCTGGTAATACATATGAAAATTCATATTTTGGGTTTTTTTTCTTTTCTTTTACCATGCTATGTATAGTGTTCAGTATTATCCACAGTTTTCAGAATCTCCCAGGAGTTGGGGAGCTCAGAACCAATTGTCCATAGATATAGAGGTCCTACCCTTGCTGTTGGGGTACATTTTTTTCTCATCCAATGGAAGAACAGAAGCACTGGGGTGGGGGAGAGAATAATATTCCATGCTGGTTTTCAGACAAAGTATACTCCAGTTGTCAGTATTATTTCCTCATTTGGGAAACGGGGGATGTGTGTGTGTGTGTGTGTGTATGAAGGTATAAAAGTTTATGCAGAAGAAATGTACTGTTATTGTATTATGATAGCTATTGCTCTGTTATGCTATAGATTAATGAGAAAAATACACCAACTATTGAGTGACTTTTGGGGTATTTTCTTCCTTTGGATAAAAAATACCCCAGAAGTCACTCAATAGTTGGTGTAGTTTTTTTAAAAAAAATCTGCCTGGTTGGAGCTTAATATTTAATGTTTAGCTATCAAATGTCTAGCTAGCCGGTGTGGTGCAGGGGACAGAGTGACGGACTAAGACACAGGAATCCTGGGTTCAAATCCCCACTCAGCCATAGAAACTCACTAGGAGCGTGGAACTGGGGGAAGCATTATTTTCCTTACCTTAAAAGGCCTGTTGTGTGTGTGTGTGTGTGTGTTCTGTGCCATCAAGTGGACGCTAACAAAGCTTTCAAGATAAGTGAGATATTTAAGGAGTGGTTTGACCAGTTGCACTCCCCCAGTGAGTTTCCATGCGGAGATTCGAACCCGGTTCTCCGGATTCTTAGTCCGTCGCTCTATCCACACCACCACTATGGAAAGCCCTATTAGGGTTGCTATAAGTCAGCTCCGATTGGATGGCGCATAAAAAAACCCTAACATCAGTTTCATATGATACTGACTGTGGAGGAAACTATTCTTATATACACACGCGCGTGTTTTGAACACAGGTCTGTCTACCAGAGTCCACCTCATCTAATGATTATTCCCCAAATTCATATTCTCTTCCCTGAACCCTGAAGACAATCTAAAGGCTCAGTCTGTGGGATAATCAAAAGATCACCTCCATAAATTAGTATGCGCTGAGGCCGTAATGCACAAATCTCTTCTCATTCACACTGCTGTTCTCCTAAACCAGGCTGGGCCAAACCCCAGAATAAGTAATACAATGTTCCTTCCTGATCCCATGGCTGCAAATTTCTTTAATTTGCTTCAGGCACTAGCCAGGAGGACAAGCCCACCGACTGAATAGGGAGCTTATCTGCCCATCCATCACATGGCAAAAGGTTTGGGTTTATGGGACTCCGAGACCCAGAATCCCCTGGGCCACATAGCCCCCAGTCTATGTCGGATTCCGGGACTCCAAGTAAAAAAAAAAACACAAATGATCCCATTCCATCAGGCTTTGTCAGCGGGGTTTCAAAGCATTTTTCCCCCTGTCGACCACAGGAACCGGAAACGTGGCCTTCCAAAACAAGAAATGGAGATGCTTAGGAGGAGGAATCCAGAGCGTTATGGGATCTGCAAGCACGCACACGCGACTCTGTGCTCAGCCTGCCCCATAAGGCCGTTCTCTCCGAGGAACGTGTCCCGAGGTTGCGTTCCGCCCTCCGACCCGCCTTCCCGAGGCAGCTCACCGGTGACACACGCAACAAGCCGCCGAGATTTACGGCCAGGCACCAGGGACAAATCAACAACGAAGCACCGCATTGCAGTCAGAGTGTGGTGGGAAGAAGGAGTTGATCCAGGAAGCCCAAAAGGAGACATTCGGTCCCAGTTGAAAAGATGAGATGGGAAGGGTCTCGTGGGTCCCACCTACCCAGGGCACCCAAGCCAAGAATCTTTGATAAAGGCTAGGACCCCCTTTCCCCCACATCACCCTCTGGAAAGGAAAGCAAAGCCCACTTCTCAGTCTGATGGGTCTATGTTGCCATCCTTATGCGTCCTCAAGTCGCTACTGACTTATAGATACGGTATGAATTCATGATCTCCAAGAGGTCCCCTCATGAACAGCTCTGTTCTGGTCTTACGAACTCAAGCCTGTGACTTCCTTTTTTTGAGTCAATCCATCTCATACCTGATCTTCCTCCTGCCCTCCTGCTTCCATCTTTTCCTGCTGTAATTTCCTTTTCCAAGGAGTGCTGTCTTCTGAGGTTATGCTTAAAACACAACAGCCTCAATTATGTCATTTCCCCCCCCCTTCCTAGCTGCTCGTACAGTAGGACCACAGGGGATTGGTTCCAAGCCACCACAGATGCTGAAAACTGTACAATATGGGAAAAGAAAAAAAATCCGGAAATATGTATTTTAACAGTGTACTTACCAGAACTGGCCAGTAGAGGGAGCACAGAGCATGCCATGGATTCTTAAACAAGAACACATGGTCTCTGGCTCTCTCTAGTGGCCAGTTCTGGTATATACACTGTGAAAATATGTGTTTCCAGGTTTTTTTTCCTTTTAATATTTTTTATATTTTCAGACTGCAAAAAAAGTGAAACTACGGATACTGATCCAACAGATATGGGGGTCCTACTATAAATGCAATTTATTGCTCAAATCTGCAAACAGTGGAGCAATTATGTCCAACGAGTTCATCAGAAGAAATGGGAGAACTGGAGCGCTGTAGCCATGGCACAAAGGGTGGGGTCACCCACAAGATGTGATCTGCAGGGGTGCCTCCCCTCCTGCTAATACACCCCAACCTTCCCAGATTCTTTTCAGCTTAAGGACAAGACTCATCACAGCTGTGGAGGGCCTCCGTGTTGTGGCTGTGATTCCCGCTGCGATGTAAAGCATCCAGAGCTAGCTTAGTTGTGACTGGGCCATGGAGAGGCGTTAGCTTTACAAAAGACCTGCCTCTGCCCTAGATGGAATAGGCTACAACTGGCTTGTCAATACAGATCAAAGCAGCTGCCTGCCTTTTGGAATTCTGGTCGATGTCTCTCTCCCTAAGCTGACTTAGCCTGCAGTAGGTTGTTCTGAACTGCTTTTAGCCCCCAGGGCTGGTTGATGTCAACCCCAAAAACACAGACCACAACCCTGAATCCTCTCGGTCCTGGCTGCCCAAGATAAGCCAGGGTGCTTTAGACACCCACAGCTGGATGTCTCACTTTACGAATCACAGAGAGCGCCTATGAACAAATGGAGAATAAGAACCGTGCATATCAGCTAACCCTGTGCATTTGGGTAGCAGACTGCCACACATTAATGAGGAGCTGGTTGCATACCAAGGCATGTGCCCGAATGTGTCATCAAGGGTATAACCCAGAAAAGAGACCAGGTCCTCACCAGTGATTGCAATTCATCACTGGGACCCATGGCCAGCTTCTGCCAGAAAGAGGTGTGGGCTTTTTGGTTTATTTTTTATTTTAAAGAACAAATCGATTTTTGTTTTTGTGTGTGTGTGTGCTAAAAGGTGTTTGTGTGTGAGACAGTTTCTCAGGGGGAAAAAAAATCAAAAAGGGAGCACGAAGCCAGAATATACAATGTGGAGTCTTAATGAGGACTAGAAGCATGAGTCTATCTTGAAAGAGCACCAACTAAATGATCGTTCACCCCATTGTTTTTTCAACGGAGAGCCTGACACTTCCCCCCCACCCCCCAAGACACATGTAGTTTGCACCGACTCTTCTCCCTGGACAAAAAGCGTTCTTGTGTGGGGCTTTATACATTATACTGGTAGAAACCCAGCAGTAAGTTGCAACTGGAGTAGGCCCATTTGAATCAACAACATTTACAGAGGAGTTGACTCACCACACCTCTACTGACTGACCCAACGGGCTTGCTTGAAATGCTGCTTACGGCTGGGTTTCAGCCACAGTTGTGTAGGCATTTGGGAGGGGGGGAGCAGCCACAAAACTCACACAAACTTTGCTTACCCAAAGGCGAGCCCACCTCCGTTTGGGTGGGTGGCGAGGTGTCTAAAGTTGCCCAAGGCCAGCGGGCAGATGCAGAACCTCAAAAGATATGGATAAGGAGAGGATTCGTCCGAATGTGGAGAACCCAACAAGCGTCTTGTCAGCACCCTGCACCCAAACATCCTCTATTCGTTTTCTTTCAAAACCACCCGAGGAACTGGAGCGACAGCAAATGTCTCTCAACTTTCCAACCAGCTTCCGGCCCGCCGGGCGGGAAGCTCAAATCCACCTACCTCCTTCTTTTTCCGCTTGACTTTGCCGGCTTTGACCTCCTTCGGCTTTTTGGGTTTCTTCTTCTTCTTCTGGGCGCTCACTGGCTCCTCCGGGTAAAACTGCTCCAGAGCTTCTAGGAGTCCGTCTTCCTCTTCTAGAGAGCAAGGAGAGAAGGAAGCGGAGAAACCGAGGTCTGTGGAACGGCTTCGTCCACAAGCCTTCTGCGCGTCCTATGGATCCATTATCCCCCTGTGCTACTGATGCAGCCCAATGCAGAGTGCACCTGTTCCCATCAACTCGTGGCCTGACCCTTTCGAAACTGGGGTTGCGTCTTCTCCCACCCCCCTTTCAGCTGCTCCGAAGGACGAAGGAATCCAGAGCCCCTTAGAAGAAGGCAAACCAGAACAGTGACTCATCCAGAAGCACAGCAGAAGACCTCGACAGGGAACCTTCCCCTATGCCAAGCCCAGGGAGCAGGTGATGGCCATGTGCGTTTCTCTTGAGAGAACAGTCCCCTGTCTGCCATCATCCTCTGCCTCAACACATCCCTAAGTCCAACTCTCGCTGAAGAATAAGGAACGCCAAGAAGGGGCATGGAAGATTCTCACCCACCGCTGGCTGAGCAGGCAGGAAAAACACACTGATTGTGTTCTCGATGACAGTGAGACAAATTTCTGAGTTTGTTTTCATAATAATAAATAACATATTTCAACTTATATCCATGTTCTAGCCCCAAGATGAAGGCAAGAGGAAAAGAGGATGACAGAGGACGAGATGGCTGGACAATGTCATTGAAGCGACCAACATGAATTTGACCCAACTCCGGGAGGCAGCGGAAGACAGGAGGGCCTGGCGTGCTCTGGTCCATGGGGTCACGAAGAGTCGGACACGACTTAACAACAACAAAAGCCCCCAACAGGCCTACCTCACAGGGCTGTTGTGTCAAGAATGATGTGACAGGGAGGATGGAGTGGAGATGGTTGTCTCCACGGGAAGCACAATGGGAAGGTAAAAAGAGAAACCCCCACACAAGTGTCGGGCAAGGCTAGAAGCAACGGGACGATGGGCATTTTTAAATGCCTGGACAAGGACCGCCACGTGGAAGGTGGAGTGAGCATGTTTGCTGATGGGCAGGATCCAGACCAATGGATTCCAGCAACTCGAAAAGAGGCTCTGGTGAAACAGCTGGAAGGGCTTCCTGACCATAAGGGCTGTTCAGCAGTGGCCCGGCTCCCGTGGTAGACGGTGGCCTCTAATTCCTTCGAGGCCTTTTGCACAGAAAATAGGATAGCCATCTGTTAGGGATGCTTTGACTGGATCTACCACATGGGCTGGGGTTCGTCTAGATGGCCTTTTGGGTCCCTTCCTTTTCTACCACTGGAGGTTTCTAAGCCCATGCGCTCTTTTTTTTCAACGATGTACTTCCTCTCTTTCATAATAACTACCAAAAATCCCCTTAAGTATGTACTCGGGGAAAAAGGAATCAGCCCATTTAGAAGATTCAAGTCTCCGGAAAAATCCAGCACAAAAGAGGCTACTCGCACGATGTACTTCCTCTCTTTCATAATAACTCAATGATCTACCAAAAATCCCTTAGGTGTGTACTCTGGAAAAAGGAATCAGCCCGTTTAGAAGATTAAGTCTCCGGAAAATCCAGCACAAAAGAGGTTACTCGTTGTGCCTCTGTGTGCTTTGTGGGTAGGGCTGGCCTCCTACCATTCTCCCGCCAGGATGGATCGTTCCCGTTGCTTCTCTTCCCTAAGTGCAATCCAGCTCCAAACCAGAGTTTGGAGACCCAGAAAGGAAACTGGAGTCCCAGCCCTCGGATGAAGGCGAACCAGATCAGAGACTCATCCAGAAGCACGGCAGAAGCTCTTTCAAGGCTCTGCTCTTCACAAAGTTTTAAAAAGCAATCTTTTCCCATCGTTTGAGCCCAACATCCCTCCAAAATCAGTTTTGAGGGGGGAAAGTCTGTGTTGGCTTTGAGATAAAGATGGATAAAATGTACAACTGCCATTTGGAAAATTAAAAAGGCAGTGTCTGAGCATTGGAAAAGGAAGCCTTCTGGGTCACAAAGATGTGGGGGAACAGCCTCAGAACCTGACAGACTTCGCTTTTTCACTTTTAGAGTTAGATATCATAAGATGTGGCAAGGAAGAGTTTCCTAAACCCACAGGTCCACGAAATATGCTTTTAGCCTTTGCTCCAAATTGCAAAAGCTAGACAGAACTTCCATGTTTAGGAGATGGCTATCTCAGCCCCCCACCCCCAGGTGCAAGAAATAAGGAAGACAGGATGATGATCATCCTTCTAGTGGGAGTCTAGGTAGCGTCCCTGGCCAGAATCTGAAGTTTGTGATCTTCTACCCCACTTTTCCTTCAAGGAGCTCCAGTCGGCCTACGTCTCTCCTCCTGATCCCACTTTATCAAAACAACAACCCAGTGAGGTAGGTCATAAAGGCTATGACTGGAAAGGACCTCTCGCTGATGATTGCAGGACTTGGGTACATGGGTTCCCAGCAGAACAGTTGCCCTCCCCACCGCCCTGGCTGGTTCATCAGGAGCTCTTGTGCCTGCAGGACTAAACAGAGCCTCCACATTTAGGAGCAGTCTATCTCCTCCTTGGTGAGAAGGAACCTAGCCTGGCAGAAGGACTCTTGGGCTGAGCTGAGCTATGAGATCCTGCTCCGGCCGAGGTTCTCCTGGAGGTCTAAACCACGACTCCTCAAACTTGGGGGGGTCTCCTGAGACGGCTCTGGGTCAGACTGGGGACCAGCAGCGTCCACAGATCCCAGAGAACCAGGGCCACCCGCGGAGACTCCAAACCAGAGTTTTAGAGACCCAGAAAGTAAGGTCTCCGAGCATCATTTAGCGCGCCGGAGGAGGGAGGCTCTCACCTGGGGGAGCCAAGACTGCCAACCTGCTTCCCTCTGTTGCTGAGCAAGACTAGGGGGCCCCGATCCTGCAGCGGTCCTCTCTCCTGGCTTCGTGGGAAAAGGTGGCCAGTGCGCAGGAGGGGAGGTGGCCTGACTCCCAAATCGTGGTTTTAAAAATCCCACGGAAGGTCCCCAATTAAAGCTGAGCCACCGATTCACGGGCGGAAGGGTGCGCTGGCCCGGGCGTAAACCCTACGGATTCAATGGGTCTCCTCTAGCCAACCTCCCCCTCCGTTCCACCCTCACCGCCGCCGCCTACCTGTCAAGTCCTCGGCGATCTGCGGCTCCTCCGCGCCCCGCATGCCTCCCTCCGGCGGGCCCGGCGCCTCCGCC